CGCCGGGGCCCGGGCCAGCGCCGGGGCCGCCGCTGCCGGAGGAGGACTGCATGAAGCTGAACCCGTCGTTCACGGGCATCGCGCTGCGCTCGCTGCTGGCCATCGACCTGTGGGCCTCCAAGCGGCTCGGCGTGTGCGCCCGCGAGGGCTCGGCATGGGGCAGCGCCCGGCCGCTCATGAAGGTCATCGAGGTGTCCGGCCACGGCATCCCCTGGCTGCTCGGCACCGCCTACGGGCTCTGCCGCAGCGACAGCTCGCCTGGCCGTGAGGTGCTGCTCAACCTGCTCTTCGGTGAGTGCTGGGGCCCCGCGAGGCGGGGGTTGATGTGTCCTGGGCTGCGGGGGCTGAGACAGTGTCTGGGGCGGGGGGCTCAGGCCGGCCTTCTGATGTGCCGTGGGCCAGAGCCTGCCAAGCACAGCTCTGAGCCCCTGTGACGGGGGCCACTGAGGGCATGTCACTGGTTTGCTGGGGGCGGATAAGAACAAAGCAGGGGCAGGAATGAGGGTCACGGCTTCATGACAAGTGCACCGAGGGGGGCACCGAGCAGAGCACACCAGCCGGTGCCTGCTGGCCCCCCAGCAAGTCCAAGGGGCCAGTGGATGCTGCTTGGTGAAACTCTGCCTGGAGACGTCAACAGACAAGGCACAGGAAAGCAGCCCTGCAGGCTCTGGGTGGCCTCCCAGCCAGAGCCTTCTTCCTGCACTGACAGATCACAAGCTTGGCTAAAGTTAGGCCTTTTGATAAGCCACTGGGACAGTGAACCAAAGCCCATCAGTTAGAGTTATACACCACCCTTGGTGATGAGGGCCACTAGGGTCATATAACTGATTACTTGAGACAAATAAGAACCAAACGCGGATGGGAGTGAAGATCAAAGGTTTATAATGAGCATATCACGAGCAGAGCTCACTGGACAGAGCCCAGCCCTTCATAGATTTCATAGCTTTCATAGACATTAGGGCTGGAAGGGACCTCGGAAGATCATCGAGTCCAGCCCCCTGCCCAAAGGGCAGGAAGTCAGCCGGGTTCATAGGATCCCAGCAAGATGAGCATCCAGTTTGCTCTTGAAGGTGTTCAATGTAGGTGCTTGAACCACCTCCGGTAGCAGGCTGTTCCAGACCTTGGGGGCTCGGACAGTAAAGAAATTCTTCCTTATGTCCAGCCTGAAACGGTCTTGTAGTAGTTTATGACCATTCGACCTAGTCGTCATCCCTTGGGGCACTCTGGTGAACAAACGTTCCCCCAGATCCTGGTGGTCACCCCTGATAAACTTATAGGTGGCCATCAGATCACCCCTGAGCCTGCGCTTTTCCAGGCTAAAGAGCCCCAGGGCTCTCAGCCTGTCATTGAATGAGCCCAAAGAGCCTGTGGACATGAGGCGGTCCCGTGGTCTCAGCCAAAGCCTCCTTCCTGGTCAGATGGCTCATGAGCTTAGCCAGGGCTAGGAGGAGGTTGACCAGGTGGTCCCAGGACTTGGTGGGGCCACAGCTGGGAAGTGTGTAAATGAAAAGGTGCAGAGAGAAACGCAGCCAGAACCTCTGGAGGAGGCGGTGAAGGGATTGCAGCCTGACACACTCCAGGCAGGCGTCTGTCAGGGTCTCCCTCTGCTCCCAGAGGAGGCAGACATTAGGGGCATCTGTAAACCATGCCAGATACATGGCAATGGCTCTGTGGAGGAGCCAACAGCTACATCCTTGGTTGCTCACAAGATCAGGGTGAAATATATGATTGTCCGCTGGGGACCCTAGTCCTTGCCAAACATGTCTTGCCACTTGGTGTCTAGTTTGGACATGAGGACAGGATGGTAGAGGGCACAGACCACAAGCATGTAAAGCTGGCAGCGATGGAATGTGGCCTAGTGCTCTGGGCTTAGTGGGTGGAGTGTTCAGGTACATTTGGGTAGACACTGGAAAGGAATTTGAAAAATCAAGAAAAATATCACTTCAAAATTATTTATTAGTTAAATAAAAACTCTTCAGCCTGGGCAGCTCCTACCAAATGAATGAGTTCTGTTTTAGTCCTGTGATTGTCTGCAAAAGCAGATGTTGTAGTGACCCAGACTTCTAAACCTGGCTCCTGGATCTGCCCACACCTCTGACACTCACTAGATTTAGCAGATTCCTGCTAAAGCTCTTTCTTTCCAGAGGGGCTTATGCCGACTAAGAATCAATCTCATGAAGCTTTCATGGGGTACCCCAGAGTCTCTCTGTTGTGATACCTCTGAAGAAAGGAAGGAAATGCAAGAGAATAAAGAGGATCTTGGGATGGAAGTAGCATCCTCCAAATATAAATTGTTTTTCCCTGACAGCAAAAAAATACAGTGTGTCTGGGGTATTTTTTGGTGATCTGCAGTTAAAGTACAAGCCCAATGATGTATTAGTGCAAATCTAAGGCTAGGGTGGCCTTTCTAGGAGAAACAGCAAGCCAGGAAGCAGTTTGCAGTATTAACCTTTCCAGTACCTTCTGAAAAGTGGTTGGTTTGGGCCCTGTGTCATATAAGAAGATAAAATGTTGCTCTGAGTAGGGAAGTCTTTAGACATATTGAGGTATATATGGGTTTACTTCATTTGATTTCAAAGGCCCAGAGTTTGTGGGCTGTGTATGAATCAGTAAAAGGAACTGGGCTGAAAGCAGGCACCAATGCATGAATCTCAGGTACATGCACAGCTGGAGGGTGCCCACAATATTGTTAAGGTACATATGTTGTCATGCGGCAGCATAGGGGACCGGTAAGGGGTGCACGTGCCCCCCCCCCA